ACCGGATACTTTAAAAAATGGTTATTAGCAAATTCAATTATGCAGAAGTTCATATTTCAACTGTCAAGTAAAACACAGGGAAATATATGGAAAATATTTATCCTAATTAGACTGTTTTTCATAGTTTGTGTCTATTAAAACTAACTATTCAATACAAAAGTATTAAGAAACCCCAAAAAGGGGTTTATTACAATAGATATACTACATGCTTCATATAGGATAATCTTTCACTATTAGAAAACATTAAGCTATGTACTATTCTTAATTAGGGCCCCATTTCAGTTAAAGTAAAGCAATTTGCAATTTAATTATAATAATACAAACTGCAGTGTAACTAATGACATAGTATGCATTTGTGTTGGATAATTATAGTAGTCGGTAAATAAAGCTTTACAAAGCAGGAAGTGAAAACAGGTGAGGGAGCTGTGGCTCAGTCATCGCCTTGCTTACTAATGAGAGCTGGAACAGAGATCAGTCATTTCCCAGCACATTCCTTGATGTGCACAATAAAAGCACACGCTGTAGACAGTTTCACTAAACTAATACAGCCACCAGGCAAGTGTCAGCTCAGAGAAGCCCACAAAGAGAAACAAGCGATAAGACACCAAGCAGCTAAAACTAACTCATAATAAAGGTAAAATAATCGTTAGGAACGCCCAGACTATGTGCCCTGCAATAGAAATGAATAATGGGAATATTAACCTTATTATTTTAAATTAAGAACATACTTCAGAAAACCTCAAATTAAGAAATGTATTCTACTTCAGTTTAAATTATACCTAAAAATATGGAAATGGTGAATTGCTTGATTTTACAAGCCACAGAGGTGATCTTTCTTCTTTAGGTTGGAGAAAAAAAAATGCATAGGGTCTCCTGCTAATAGTAGTAACAGGATCAGACATCAAATTTTGACATTTTCACATCAGCGAAACTGAGTTCTACCAAAATCTAATCTGTTAAAAAGGTAACGCTTTCCTTTTAGCAGAGGTGTCACGTACTCACGCATCTTCATTTTACCGTTGTACCGGTGAAGCAAGTATGTTGGTCTAATCGGGTACTGTGTATAACACCTAGGTGTCTGTTCAATCAAATTACCACTCGGTCTTAAATCATAATTTCAATTAATTTACAACTTAATACAGCAGCTCTTGAGTTGAGAATTTATTATAGCTGTAGCAGAAGAGATAATTATAACATTTTTTTCTGAACAGATTTTGGGACAGACTTTCTAATATAGGATATGAGTAAATTATTTAGGTTCTCTGCAATTCTCAGTTTGCAAAAATACTGAAATCTAATTTGGCTTATTGGTGTTTGGTCTCCAAACACATAAACCTCCCTGATTCAAAATACAGCTTCTTAAAATTCAAGCTGGTGAGTCCTTACTATCTCTCCTTGGCACATACTGTCTTACATTTGTCAATCATACAATTAATTGAGTGTATTATGTAACACATAAAATATGTATTCTCCTTTACTAAACAAAGTTATGAATATGAATACCTTGAGAGAAAGACCATGTCTGTTATCTTTTTAAATAAAGTGAAGAGAAGCAGAAAATCTGCCCAGGACCTAGCATAGAACCTTCATCACAGCAAGGACTAAAATAAACGTTTATTTCTTACAAAGGATAGGTAAAGAAACCAATCATCTTTTGGCAATAACTTGAATACTAGAAGGATGTGAACAGATGATATAAATAAGTTCACATTTTTGTTAACTTGTAGGTGTTGGCAAAGAGTAGCCTCTATAACTATTTTCAAAATTGAGAGGGAAGAACAGAATTATGATATTACAGACAGCATATTGTGCTTCTCCCATCGTTATTATTGCCAAGAGTTTAAAGCCAGCAAACAGTGACACGTAGCTATTCTAAAAAGCATCCTTTAGCATTTTTCTCTTGGGCATCCTTCTGTAGATAGTCCCTTATTCTGAGAAGGTAATTAAGAAAACATAATTTTGCCAGACATACTTTCCCCCTTCTCCTTTGAAACTTGTACTAGTGACAGTCTGCAAAAAAATAAGAAAATAAGTTCCATGCCAGCTGTCCCTTGTACCCTGGCCCAAAATGTGAAAACACAGAGATTTGGAGAAAACAACATGTATGTACAGGTTGACATCAACAGCACATCCTGAAATGTAATTACTGCAGATAAATATGAAATGCTGTTTTTGTCCCCTAGAGAAAGTTCTTCAGGATGATAAATCAGCTTCACAGCTGGAAGGAGAGAGGATTCTATGAACATACTTGACTGGGCCAAGGGATAGGAGAAATTTTAGTGGATTGATATTACTATTAATTTTGCCAAGGCTTATTGCGTGAATTTGGGTAAGTCATTGCTACTTGGTAAATGGGGCTGAGAGTGAATAAAATATATAATTAAAAATTCATACAAGTTGCCAGGAAGAAATTAGATGTTCCTATCAGTTGTAAAATGGTCACCTAATTTCCTCTAGTTTAACTTGAAGACATCAGAAAATACACAAATAAAATGGCACATTATTTTTTGACCCAAAATAGTTTTCCTGTGAACTTTGAAATTAAACAAAAATTCTAATGTAAAATACTGTAGACTCAAAATAAGGTCTTGTGAAAAAGCTGAAAGTCCCAGTTAATGAATTTTCAAGAGATACAGATAAAAAAGATAATAGAGGATTCAGTACTGAGTAGTTTTTAGTAGTATTCCTGTATGTGCTGAAAAATATCTCCACTGTATACAGAAGATAGATTTAACTAAGAAAAAATCCCCTTGGCTATAAAAAATAAACACTGAGTAAACTTAAGTATGCTTTAAAATAATCCAATTTCTTATGCTTATTTCAAGAGAGGTTAGAGCTAATTAAATGATATCAGCACCTTACAATAATTGAACTTTTGCAAAGACGTAGGCCCACACTTGTATTAGTTTTAGGAAGCTTTTATCTAATTCCATCACCTCCCAGGAAGCAATAAGGAACTAGCTCCACAGTATCTTAAGCAGAAGTTTGGAGTGATCATTCACATTTAAACCTGGGGTCCTTAGGTCCTAGGTGGTCTCCTATGGTACTGTTAGCTTTTGGGAATGGAGTGAAAATATGTGTATTCAGGAATATGCATTTATGAGAAGAGGGCCATGTTTCATTAGAATTTCAAAGTGGGCTATGAACCTGAAAAAGTTCATAGAAAAAAAAAACTAGTTAAGTTAGCCTAACTTCCAGTTTACAAATAAGCCTGGAGAGTTGAAATGATTGCTCTAAAGGCAAACCCAGGATAGCTATAAAACACCTAGAACCAGGTCTCTAGAAAACCGGTAAACTCAGTGTATTCTTAGGGCCACATCATTCTTCTCAGAGGGCAGGTAGGAAAAATGTTGTTAAGTGTGCACAGGGCTTTCATAACTAGATCTCATTTCAAGTAACAGAGTAGTTTCTAGGTCACAATACTGTCTATAAATACAAAATCTGAAGATATGAAAGTAATATAGGTGATCTAAATGAGCCAAATAAAAAACTCACAAATCTCCCAACACGATGCTGCCTCCACAGCAAGCTTACACACCTGTTCCAGCCTTGAGTCCCTGCAGCATGTGCCACAGTCTCCATGCTGACAGAGAGCCAGAGGCCCCCAAAGAGAAAAATGGATCCTGAGCTATCACATCACACAATGGAGAACTACCTCGATTTAACATGCCCAGGGTGTGGACTCTCCCCATCTTACTTCCTCAGCACCCCCACCCCTGCCCCAAACATACACATACATGGAGACATCTACATACATACAATTATAGACAGGTAAAGAGTGATTTCAAGGTATAGATATATAAACAAGATGAAAATGAAGCATGACATTTACCTGATTTATTAGCCAATCAATTAATCTCATGATTTTTCATGATTAATTTTAGGAAAGACTGTCACTAAAATAAATAAGTAAGGAGAAAGGTACATTAATCCTGCCAAGTAACCCTGTACATCCTCTTGGCATTTCTAAAACTTTAAGAAAACCATTTAATTTATGCCTATGAATCAGTGTGCACGTAAACATCTGAGTACATACTCTAGTTCTACCCTTTGCATACATTATGATGTTAGGCAAATGATTTAATTTCTCTGTGAGTCAAGTTCCTGATTAGTAAAATGGAAATAACAACAGTTCTGACCTTACTGAGTTGTTGTGAGGATTAAAAGTGGTAATATGTGTAAAGTACCTAGAACAAAGCCTCATACTTTATGATGATAAAAGAGCCACCATCATCATCATTATCACAAGAAGACACATATGCAATTAATTACTTATATGGGAAAAGGAGTTAAAAAGAAAGCTTAAGATAAAATTGTTTACTAACAAAGTGCTCAAGCTACCATGAAAATTCAAACCACTTACTAGGAGAATGCCAGTAAGTCTGTTCAGCCCACGTGTTCCTTGGGGTACTTTTCCCACGGACTTTCCCACGGACTTGGCACTTCACCCAAGTGGGATGAAAAGGTTGGGTTGATGTGGGTCAATGGAGCAGTTCCCTTCCCTCTCTACAGTTGTGGGTGAGCAGCCTCAGGAGCTCCCAGTATCAGGTACACCAGCTCGTTGCACGGGAGTTCGGACCAGTCTAAGTGTTGTATCCGCAATATCTCTAACCAGAAGCTTAACTGAAGGAAGTGACCTGAGGAACTGGCCTCTTTGGAAGTGAAATGCTTTGATGACAATTTTAAAGATAATGGGATGCTCTTGGAATCTATGGAGAGAGACTGTATCACGGATGCAGCATCACCAGGAAATAGTGAAAACCTCAAATTATGTCTCATTTGGATGAGTCTCTTGGGGTTGTTTGATCCCATGATGGGGACGCATCTAAAGCCATGGAACACTGAAAAATACTAATAACTTCCAACACAAGGACAGATGCCAAGACTCCCAATAGTGTCAGTCACCAACAAAACTCAGTAATTATCCATCCAGGGTCTATTTGTTAGACCACAATCTTGAATATTTCAACTTAAAACATGTTGAAAATGAAGCATTTTACCTTTTTATATTCAGCAATGCCCAAGGTATTCCAGAGGGAGTACGAAATGCAGGTAGCAATTTTACCCCAAGTTCCACTGCTTTCTTTCGAAATATCTGAAAAGTTAAACAGTTAAGTAAGCTACTGTTGTAAGAAAAACAAAATGCACTATACTGCTATCTCACATTGAGCATGTTTCTACTTAAAACTTTTTTATATGAAAAAATAAAAGTTTCTTAAATTAACAGAATTACCTGGAAAGCAAGAAAGGTCCAGGAGCCATTGTTCTTTGGGGTATTTATCTTGGTTGCATGTTAAAATCATAGGGGGTATCAGTATAATAATACTGATATCTGGGTTGCACTCCTGAGATTCTAATTTCTATGGCTTGGGGCTCCCAAATCAGTTTTTTTTTTAAAGCACCACAGGTGACCTCAGGTGATTCCAATGTGCAAGACAGGGAGAGAACCACTGTTGCTGGTGCTAAGTCCTGGACTGAAAATCAGGAGCTCTGGTCCTGTTTCAGCTTTATTTACTAGGGCACCGAGAAAGAAGTTGTGAAAAAGACATCTTATTACCAGTAATCTATATGTCCACTCAGCCCTTTGCAGTTTTGACCTCCTCTGATGTCAAGCGTGGGTGATATGGAAGATACAAAGTTAAGTTAGATACAAATTCTGCCCAGAATTCAGTAACAAAGGCAAAATATGCATGCAAATATCTGGAACACAGATAAAATGAGAGCCTGGCATAATACCATCTAGGAGTTCAGATGAGTTCGCTAAGGCTCTATGGGTGGAGACGGCATTTAGATGAGGATTGTACGCAGCATGTAATGAGGTTAATAGTACTAGAGATGTGTGAGGTGTGGGAAGCGGAGGGGGCCTCCCCGAAGGCATCAATGTAAGAATATAAGCACAGATACCCGCAAGTGGGGGCCTGCAGAAGAAATGGAGTAAGTCAGCTTGCCTGTCCAAAGAAAAGGGGAACACTTGTAAATAAAGTCAGATATACACAGCCCATATTTTCATGGGTAAGGCTAAAAACTTTATTCTGTTAAAATGGAAAAATGTTGAACGTTTTTGAGCAGCCAGTCCACCTGAGCAGAACTGTGATACCCATTCACAGTTTTAGGTCCAAAGTAAAGCACTGAGTGAATGTACTCATTGAAGGAAAGCTGTGATAGTTTTCCCTGCAGCAGGGCCTTGTCCCTTCTCCTTGCCATACTGTGTGACCAAGCGTGGTGGGCTGGGAACCTACTATTTCCTTTTCCCTCTTCCTAACAAAAGCTAGGGGAGCCCTGGGAAGCATGGAGAATGGAAGTAAGATCCTCTCCCAGTGTGGGAAAGCATTCATTAAGGTCACTGTCAGAGAAGACCTGGGGGGCTCCTTCAGAGGGAAGAGTTCCAGCCCACAACTTCTGGTCTAAGCACACAGCCTCCCTACAGAGAGAAGCCAGGCACCGGGGCTTCTGGACTGGAGATAATCCACTCATATTGATATTGACACTATTTCTGAGACCCTACTCTTTTGGAATCTTACTTTGTAGTGAAAGTTAAGAAAAGACTAAGTTTTCATGTAACAATTTGGCTGACAGTCAATTTAGATAAACTAGTATTCCTGGGATACAAATGAGGACACAGACATTTGTACTATATGAGGCTCTTAAAAAAACAGAACCATTTTTTCCCACAAATTATTATTATAACCCTCTTTAAAGTGGACAATTTTCTGTTTCAACAACTAAACAGTGAATGGAAGAAGAAGAGAAAGAAAAATAAACCAAAAAGTACAGTCTTCCTTTCCTTCTCTGCCTTACCCTGGAGAATTTTAAGTTCTTTTCTGCTGTAAGGGATTATCCAATCACTGTCCAGCCATCTGCTGACTTTCTAGTTTCCACCCAACTTTTAAAACTGTTAATTAATTAACTCCTTTGCAAGAAACTTACATAAGATGGAAGTCAGACTTGTAATTAAAACACCATCATGGATATTATAACCATATGGCATGGGAGTTAAGGGCTGAGGCTTTGAAAACACAATGCCTGTAGTTGAATCTTAGTTCTGCTTCTTCAAATTGGATGATCTTGGGCAAACTGGCTTAATTTCCTTGCGCCTAAACTTCCTCATCTATAGAATGGAGATAACAATAGTACTTGCTATTTTAAAGGTTGTGGAAAGAAAGGAATGAATTATTATATTTAAAGATCTTAGAAAAAAATACTTAGGATACATAGTAATCACTCTAAAAGGTTAGTGGTAGTTTTTATGTGAAGTAATACTTTCCCTATTTACTGCCTGAAAATGTTTCTTGTTCTGTCTTTAATCCAACTGCCGTTTGATACGCTATACTTGGGTTCTCTGAGTGTGTGTGTGTACGTGCGCATGTGCATGTACACCCCTTTTCCCCCAAACACACACTCTTAATCATAAGCATTCATGCTCAAGAGCTAAGCCCGCCTTCTCATCACCGGTTGCACTCCCAAATTCAACTTTTCTTTTTGAATTTAGTTCTGTACTTCTACTTGCATGCTCACATCACAATCTGGGTGTCGTCTTCTGAAACTTAACATGTCCAAGATGAAATCAATCATTTAACATCCCGGGCAAACTTCCCCAGTTCCATCACTGACACCACTGTTCAGATAGTCCATGAGGCACGAGAGAGCTGCATTTTGACTTTTGATTTCTTACTCTTTAGTTATTGAGTATCAACATGGAAGTTCCTGGAAATGTCTCATATATGGCTTCTTCCCTTTCTATGATGAGCATAGTCCATGTTTTCATCACCAGGTACCATAGCAAAGAAGGTCCTCCTACCTGGTCTCACATCTTCCTGTCTCCATTAATCTGTATCTATATTGCCAAATTCCTCTTTTTACCGTACAACTTTCTTATTCAAGAAACCACAACGATTCCCTCTGTTGTCTAAAACTTCAAGTCAAAACTGATTACTGACTTTTCAATGACCTCTAACAATAGGACCATTTATCATTTTTTGTTCCTTCAAAGACCAGTTCTTGAGCACTCATTGAAGTTTGGTCCACTTTAGTATCTTTTTTGAAAAAGTTTTTTCCCCCTCAGCTTTATTGAGATATCATGGACATACTGTGTAAGTTTAAGGTATACAACGTGATGATTTGATACACGTACGTGTTGTAAAATGATTACCACAATAAGGTTGACACTTTCGTCTTCTTGCATAATTACCTTTTGTGTGTGTGTGTGTCCTGCCACAGTAGTATATTTGTTCACCCAGTTTGCTCATCCTGAAACACCCTTTTCTGCCTCCTGTTGGCCAATACAAATTCACCCATTCTCCAGGCCTAGGTCCAGGCCAAGATCACTGCCTTCTGTGATCTTTTACACAGACAACTGGCATCACACAATGCAGCATTTGACTACAGAAGGCAAGATCCACATCTCGAAATGTTTCCTTATGTTCCTCTCTTACATCCCCAAGTAATTATCTTTAAAAATAGAGGAAAAGATCTCCATTTCTTCTCCATTGCCTATTTACATATCCGACCCAGATCTGGTCATTCTGTATTAAATTTATTGATGTTGCCAGCGTATGCCTAGGAGCTGCAGGTGGGAAGATACATACACTCTCAAACAGGAAACAGTGGCCCTTCCTATCTCAAGGTTTTTGCCTTTGCTGTTTCCTCCTGCTGCAATGCCCTTTCCCTAGCTCTTTACGTGACTGGTTCATTCTTAACTTCAGGAATCTGCTTAAATGTCCCCTTCTAAGAGGGGTCTTTCTTACCAACCCCACATAAAGTTGGCCATTCTCATTTATTATTTATCATATTATCTTGTTTATTTCTGTCCCACTATTTATCATACCCTAATTATCCTATTTGCTTACTTGTTGACTGTTGGACAACTCTGCCAGATGTAAGCTTCATGAGGGCATGGATTTGATCTTGTTCATTGCTGTGTGTATATACTCAGTATCCTGTAAAGTAGCTGGTACTCAATAAACATTCATTTAATAAATGAATGAGTCAAATATTAATAAATGTACCTGGAGCACTAGAATGAGAAACCACTAATATTCTAGTATTTGCAAAGTGTTCTATTCCACTAGTTTCTATTGTCTGCAAATAATTACATCAAGGATTCTGGAGTCTCAACCTTGGGCACAATTACAAAATAGTTTTTGGATGAAAACATTAATTAACCTATTGATGCTTTAAATGAAATCATATGTGAGCCTAAGTCAATTCCAATTCTTAGTGTTCGATTTGTTACCTCCCCTTGAGACATGAAGAGAGGTTACTTGGAGGAGGAATCCAGAGTCTCAAAGACAACATCTTTTTACCCAAAATGGTGAGTAGTAAAATTCCAAACTAGCTTACAAAGTTAATATTGTTAAAAGAATGAAGGAGAAATGTCACAAATCATTCTAAAGGGTAGTTAAGTTTTAACTAGCGTATCTTAGATAATGTACTCAAAAGCAAATGATGACAAAGAGCACACTAAGAAAATGGTACTTCAATTCAGTGCCCCTTCAAATGGGGCAGCATGACGGAGGCAGCACTGGACAGGTCAGTACTTGGATCCTAGGACTGGCTCTGCTACAGTTCAGTGGGAGGCCTGGGCCCACCGTTTAACTTTTCTGGTTCTCAGTTTCCCCAGAGAAATGGGAGAGCAGGGCTGATCATTTCTACTTCTGATTTATTACTGAAAAACTAGTACTCAGAAGTCATAAAACTGGTATTAAAATGAGGCTGGCAAAAAAAGAAAATTATTATAATTTTTATAAAGATAGAGTTGATTTGCCACCCAACTCTTAGTCAATCTTGGTCTCCAGGATTTGCTGGTACTTATATTTGCTGGGGAGGATTCTATAAAGAGAGCAAGATGAAAATGAAAAATGACAGGCAATAAAATACAATCCATGATGATAATAGAAGACATATTCTTTTTTTTAAATGACCATTACCACTAAATAGAGTTTTTGTGCAACTTGCACCAATCAGTTCAAAATGGGCAGACACCTAATGGTCCAAAAGGAATCTTCCAAAAGATTATGCATTATAGAGATTCTGATTACATTCACAGCAAAAATCAAAACTCATACAATTTGCTGAAAAAAAGAGTGGTAAAATATG